CCCCCCCCCCCCCCCCCCCCCCCCCGGGCTCCAGGACTCCCTCGCTCTCTCTTCCCTCCCCTGGGAGCACCGCCCACGCCTCTCCTACCACCCTTGCCCGAGGCGTCCCCTGCTCTCGGTCCCGGGATCCCTAAGGAGCCCTACGTACTCTACGCCTCCCCTCCCCCTAAAGCGGGCCGCACCGCGCCTGCGCCCTCTCTTCTCCCCCCTCACCCAAGTCCCGTCCACTACGCCGTCTGCCCCGCTCCACTCCCTGTTGACCAATCCCAGGCGCTGATATGGGCGCGTCACTTTGGTGCCCTTGCAGCCCAACCCCCGGATGTGTACTGCTGAAGCTGTTTCGCTGCGTGGTCCAGAGGAACGTTGGATTCGGGGGAGGTCCCCCGTGATCACGCCGGCAATGGCGGTGGATAAGGGAGGGGGGGGCTATCGGGTTGTTCTTCCAGGTGCCCGGGGCCGGAAGTGCCGCAAGTGACGGCGGACGTCCCGCTCCGCACAACCCTGCCGTGGTTTCCATGGTGACGGTAAACAAACATTGACTGCCAGTGCTTCAGTCACCCAGAGACTCCGAGGGCCACTGGAGACCTCGGGGTGAGGCGGGCGCGCGGGGACTCGAAGACTCAGAGCCCCAGGTGAGTGGCAACCGGAGTGTCGAGGTGGAGGTCCACACCTGGCATGGAGTGGAGCCTGAGCACCGGGGGTGGCATTGCGGGGTCGGGGTTGAGGGTCCAGAACGCAGAATCCGAGATCCAGGGTCGCACTCCAGGGGAACTGGGGCCTGACTGGAATCTAGGGGTTGGGCTCACGGCTCTCTAGAGCATTGGTTGGCCTTAAGTAACAGGCCGAAGCCAAGCTCAGTGGCATTTCGCCTTCGTGGCAAGCGCAAGGTCCTGAGTTCGATCCCGGGTACCAAAAACAAGTAAATAATAAAATAAACAAAAATTAACATATACAAAAATAAAGAGTCCTTCTCACCCTGGGGAGACAGACAATCGGAACCTGAAGAGACCATTTCGGAGGATGAGCGTTTCAGGTCGGGGGACCTATTGTAAGAGGACCTGCAGGATGGCAGGCTGCACTTGTCTGCAAGGCCTCCTTCAGGTAGTGAGTAATGATGAAAAAAGAGGCTCTTTTTTCCTATGATGCCCTCACTCTGGGAGGCTGAGGCAAGAAGATCGCAAGTTTAAACCCAGCATGGGCAATTTAAAGACAGCGTCTCAAAATATAAAATAGAAAAAGGACTGGAGATGTACCTCAGTGCAAGACTCTGGGTTCAATTTCCAGGGGGAAAAAAAGGCTCGGCTCAGTTTTGTTTTTTGAGACGGTACATTCACATACTTATAGAAACTTGCACCAGCTTTTATTACTCAGAACTTTTCATCTTTTGCTTATTTCTTGCTTCCTGCGGAATTATTTTAAAACCTTCAAACTTTAATGTCTAAAAGCTTTATTTCTTTTTTTCAGATTCATCTCTTCCTTCGTCTTTTTTAAATTAAGTTTATTGGTACATTTTAGGTATATAGTGCAGTTACCTTCACCACTGGGATTTTGTACCTTTACATGGTGTATCTTGGTTCTAATTGTTTTCCCCATTCCCCTGCCCTTCCTTCACCCACTCCACCCTTCACTATTAAAAGCTTTATTTGTAAATAGAAACAAAGCTTTTGTACCTGGGGAGGAGAGGGGGGCTGTAGGGGAGGGGTAAATGGGAAAAAGGAAGTGAGCTGTATCAGGTACAGGTGCAAAGAGTTTTAGGGCTGGGGATTTAGCTCAGTGGTTCTGCCGCACCAATCAATCAATCAATCAATCAATAATTAAGAGCTTTATTTCTTCCTCTTGTGACAGATCTTTTCCCAGTACCCCTCCTCCATTAGCTTCATTGAATTTGTCTGTTGTATTTTGGTCTGAAGTAAGTCTGTGTTTATTTTCTTTGCCCTCCTGGTCTGCTCTGCAGCATGTGTTTAATGCATTCAGCCATTTAGTTTTTTTCCCTATTTTCTACTCATACCTTTAAATACAATTTGCACTGATTTGTCTTGAAAAATCATCTCATAAGAACCGAAATTTAAGCCGTGTGTGGTGGAGCATGCCTGTAATCCCAGCACTGGGGGAGGCTGAGGCAGGAGGATCGCTATGAGTTTGAGACCAGCCTGGACTACATAGTGAGCTCCAGGTCAATCTCAACTACATAGTGAGACCCTGTCTCAAACAAAACAAAACAAAACAACAACAAAAAAAACAAGAACCCAAATTTAGCAGTTTGAGGGTAGAGCCAGAGCTTTTTTCTCAGGTTCTATGTGTTATTTTTATGATTTTTTGGTATTGAGGATCGAACTTGGGATCTTATGCTAATCCTCGGCTCATTGTTTTGTTTTTTTGAGACAGGGTCTTGCTAAGTTGCCCTGGTTGGTCTTGAACTTGTGATCTTCGTGCTTCAGCCTTTCAGCATGCTTGAATCACAGGTATGGACCACTACCTCTGGCTGTTACTGATTGTTTTTCATGGCTGAATTCTGTAGTGTGTAGGTGACAGTGAAATGCTGTGTAAATTCTGCCTTCACCAGGTCAGTTCACCTGAAGCCCATATGTATCACATTTTCCATGGGTTTGTGTGACTTAGCAAGTAAAAGGAAGGGGTTACTGCTAATTGTATTTTAACCTCCATTTTGGTGTGTGAGCCTTTAAACACAGGTGCTTATTGTTACTCAGCAGACGTGTAAATTTTCTTACTGTTAAATTTGGGCTTGTGTTATTTCTTAATTTTGTGAGTTAAAATAGGTTTGTTTTTAGCAGTTGTGATATAAGAAGTACAAAAAAAGTGTTTTGTTCATGGCATTATACTGGTAATTAGATAAATACACAGTTGCTCCCGCCATCCCTACTGGGGATTGAACTCAGGACCTTGTGCTTGCAAGGCAAGTGCAGTGCCACTGAGCTAAATACCCAGCCCCTGTGAGGTGGTTGCTTATTTATTAATTTTTTTTTTGTTACAGAATGGCTTCATCATCATCTCAAAAGGAAGTAGAACCCAAAAAAAGAAAAATGGAAGAAGGAAGAGTCTTAAGTGAAAGATGGATGAGTGTTTTTTTATTGAGAGAAATAAGGCACCCTGCTTAATTTTTCTAAATCAGTTTATCTCACCAGACTAGAGCCAGATGAATTGAGGAAATGGGGAAAAATTTACTGAAAAAGATTTAAGAGTGAAGCTGCTAATTTCAAACTTTATTCTTTGGCAACAGATGAAAGTGCTGATGTGACAGATATGATTCAACTTTCTGTTTTTAATTAGCAGTATTATAGATTACGAATATAGTATCACTGAAGAAATGATTTCTTTGATACCATTAAAATACAGCTAAGGGCTGGGGATTTAGCTCAGGGGTGCTGTCGCCTGCCTCATAAGCACAAGGTCCCAAGCTTGATCCCCAGGGCCAAAAACAGAAACAATAGCTAAATCTCTTCATTTGTATGAAGCAGTAAAATTAAGTGACTTTCTTCAAACTTTGTTAACATATCTGGTGTAGCCATAGTGGTACTCTGTGATGGTTGTTAAAGAAGAGGGATTTAAAGGGATTGTGGTGGTGTGTGCCTATGATCCCAGCACCCAGGAGGCTGAGGCAGGAGGATCAGTGCAAGTTTGAAGCTACCCTGGGCTACATAATGAATTCAAGGCCAGTCTGAACTACAGAGTAAAACCTTGTCTCAAAAAAAAAAAAAAAAAAAAAGGGTATTTATAAATTAGTGAGAGATGATGCAATTGTTGCTGGCACATCACATTTAACAGAATACTGCTGCATCATACATCAAGGAAATTCAAGCTTTAAAAATGGATGTTTACACCTGTAATCCCAGTACTCAGGAGGCTGAGGCAGGAGAATTCCCATGAGTTCAAATAGTGAGTTCAAGACTAGCCTGAACTTTGTAGGGAGACCCTGTTTCAAAAAAACAACAAAAAGATGTCATGCAAATCATCATCAAAGCTGTGAATTTCATGAGGTCCTAGGGCTCGAATCACCAATTCCACAAGTTCCTTAAGAGTAAAGATGCTTTGATCGCTTTGGCAGCACATCTACTAAAACTGGAATGATACAGAGATTAGCATGGCCCCTGCGCAAGGATGACATGCAAACTTGTGAAGTGTTCCATATTTATTTTTTGTGCTTAATCAGGAATCTTGTTCTGTGATCACTCTAATGAGTCAATAATAAATGTTTTGAAATGTTAAAAAAAAAATGATGATGATTATGGGGACATCATTTTTCTGAAGTGAGGTGGCCAAGTTGGAGTAAAATGCTGAAGAGATTTTGTGAATTGTAAAATGATACTATCATTATGGAATCAAGGAACCTGAAGATTCCTCACCAGTTTTGCATTTTTTTGATGTGACTACTCATTTAAATGGGATAAACGTGTCATCAAGGTGAAAGTCAATTTATTTGTGCTATATTTCAATACAGTGTACAATACAGTGTTGTACAATACAGTACAAAATGGAGAGAGTAATGGGGAAAAAGGGTGGGATGTACCATGTACAGGTACAAATTCCCAATGATGAGTGTTGTTACATATGCCTAAAATGTACCAATAAATATTTTGCTATAAAAAAATTTGTTAGCTGTAATTAAAAAGGTAAAGCTTTATGTGTCTAAAACAATGAGGTTTTCTTAACATTGAGATGCTCTTCATTAAATTTATGAAACAAGTTATATATTTAAAAATAGTGTACAAAATGAAATTAAATTATGGCAAGTTCAGGTTATGATAAATAACTTTATGTGTTTTGATAATTTTTAGTTCTGGGAACTGAAAATTATGCACCCTTTCTTTCTGTTTTGTTTTCTCTCTCTCTCTCTCTCTCTCTCTCTCTCTGTACTGGGGATTAAACGCAGGACCTTGTACTTGCGAGGCAGGCAGCGGAACCACTGAGCTAAATCCCTGCCCCCACCCTTTGGTACTGGGGATTGAACTTGGGTCCTTGTGCTTGCAAGGCAGGTGACAGAACCACTGAGCTAAATCCCTGGCCCTCCCTTTCTGTTTTGATACAGGAGTTTGAGGTAGGTTTTAATATTTTGAAAACAATTATCAGTATTTGGCATGTTTACAACTGCATTTTTCATTTGGCATACATGCATAGCCCGTAAGTTTTACGAAGGAATGTACAGGGTTATAGTCAGGAGATCTGGTGTGTTCAGGGTGGTATGGGTATAGACTAGGGTTACAATCTGACGTTAAAGGAAAATTGGATTGTGTCACTTCACAGTCTAGCTTTAGTCATGTCATCCTTTCCAGCTTTGTGTTTATTTGTGAACAACTCTTATTGTTTCTTTTTGAGTAACTAAATAAAACCAATCAAGCAAGCATTCACTCTAGAACAGACCTACATGCCTCATATTTCAGGTTGCTGGGTTCTCTGCCTCTAGCCTGGAGTATCTGGGACAGAAGCAAACCTGGAATCGGTGCCATTCTCTGCCATCCTTTGGGCTGAGGGGTTCTTTGCTGGTCTCATTTTCTGTCTAACTCTCAGTCTGTGGATTGGTTGGTTTATATTTGTGGTCCTGGGGATCACACCCAGGGCCTGTGTCTACCCTGCCATTAAGTTACATCCTAGTCACAATCCCTGATATGTCTGTTTATAAAGTCCAGAGTGGGGTGGGGGAGCTAGCTCAGTGGTTCTGCCGCCTGCCTCACAAGCACAAAGACCCGAGTTCGATCCCATTTACCAAAAAAGTCCAGAGTGTTTAGCTGCATTGGTGGGGAAACATGAAATATAGTGTCTCCTCCATCTCGTCCTGAATTGGAGGTCTTCCTTTTTTTTTTTTTTTGTTTTTTGAGACAGTGTCTCACTATGTATTGAGACTGACCTGGAACTCACTTTGTAGCCCAGGGTGGTCTGGAACTCACAGTTATCCTACTGCCTCAGCCTCCCGAGTGCTGGGATTACAGGCGTGTGCCACCACGCCTGGCTTTTTAAAATTTTTTTCCTTTTTTTGAAACAAGAGTTTTGCTACTTAGCCCAGGCTGGCCTCAAATTCATTGTGATCCTCCTGTCTCAGCCTCCCAAGTGTTGGGATTATAGGCGTGTGCCGCCTTACCTGGCCCACCTATTCTTTTGGATTGTTCTTTTCCCAGATATGGTTCATTTCCCTTCACTCCCGTGCTGATTGGTATATATCTCTGCTGGGAGCTGGGGGCAGGTGCTTGCATGCACCAGGCCTTGGGTTCCTTTCCTGTCATCAAAATGAATATTTTGTTGCATGCTTAAGGGAACACTGCAGATGTCTGGTCTCCATGTACTTCTCCTCTGTGACCTCTACCTGCCTTTCTCTTCCCAGACTCCAATATGCCTTAATTCAAGGAGTGTGCAGGTGCCATCTCAGTGTTTTCCCTGCAGCACCATCTAAACACTTCCCAGGGGAAGCTGCACATGGTAGTGCATGCCTGTAATCCCAGGGTCTGGGAGGCTGAGACAAAAGGATTGTAAATTCAAGCCTCTCCTTGACAACTTTGTGAGACCCTGTCTTGAAATTTAAAAAAGGGTTGGGGTTGCGAACTGCCAGTAAAGAAATACATTAATTCGTTAGTTGCAAAGAAATACCCCCCAAGGCAGTGAGCGGGGCCACCTATAGGGCTTATTTCTTTTGTTTCCTGTATTATTTTTTTCCTGGTACTGGGAATCCAACTCAGAGCTCATGCTAGTGGGCCTCACGCTTGCCAGGCAGGCACTGTACTGAGCTACATCCTCAGTCATGTTTCCTGTCTTGAGAGGAATCACAGTCCTTTGCTGCCCTCTGGTCATATCCTTATTTATTTATTTATTTTTGGTTTTTTGAGGCAGGGTCTCATTATGTAGTTCTGGCCTTTAACTCATGTATAAGTGAGCCTTGAACTTGAAATGATCCTCTTGCCTCAGCCTCCCAAGTGCTGGGATGACAGGTATGTGCCACCACACCTGGCTGGGGTCCATATTCTTTCAAACTTTTTGCCTATATATTGTCAATTTTTTGGATTGTTTCAAGTGGTAAGTTTCCTGAACCTCCATTCCCATTGTTGTTTTTCCCAGAAGTGGACAATTGCAGGTATGAAATACTCATCTCCCACTGAAGTTGAATCAGAAGTCTCTCCGAAAAGGCCCTGCAAAAGGAGAACCCATGGGACACCGGAATAGGGAGCTTTTCAGGTCACACAGAACTGAAAAGGGTGGGATGTTGAAGCACGGGGATCCAGGTAGTACTGGTCAGAGAAGCTCGAGATGTGAAGATGGTGTGGGCATACTGCACTACTGTCAGCACTGTGTAGGTGGCCAAGGAGTGGTACACAGCTCTTTCTGTGCACGTGGACTGGTGAGCTTGTGGAGCACATATTTTTAAAAATTTGTTTTCACAGTGAGTTCCAGAGCAGTCTGAACGACATACTGAGACCTTGTCTCAAAAAAAAACACAACCCCCAAAAATTTTGTTTTCAGTATTTTGTATTCCTCAAAATGTTGTAGTAAACATCAGCAGCTATATATGTACACGGAAGTAATCTCCATCATAGGAACATTGTTATCTTATTGTAGTGAACCCCACTCAAAACCTATTCCTGGCTTTGGAACAATTTAAAGATAATCAGTTCCATAATTTAAAAAATTTGACTTTTTCATTTCAATGTTTTAGTATCTATAATCCCTTATTTTTGTAGCACTTAGGATTGAACCCAGGGCTTTGGACATGGTAGGTAAGTACTCTACTACCGAGTTATATTTCTAGGCCAAATTTAAGATTTTAAGTTTAAAACATTAAATCTGAAATACAACAATACTTGGAGGGTCTGGTGGTGCACCCCTGTAATCCCAGCACTCAGTAGGCCAGGGCAGGAGGATTGCCAGGAGTTTGAGGCCAGCCTGAATCACAGAGTGAGACCCTGTCTCAAGACAAAACAATACTCATACTTTAGGGTTTTGGTCTTCGTCATAACATGGAATTTTAAATCTTTGATTTTGAAGCCTCTTTAATTTTTGATGTCTTGTTAGCTAAGTGAAACTTAAATTGTGTGTGT